TACTAACTTTCTTGGTATAATTATTGATGAATGTTTGACCTGGAATAATCTATAGCTAAAGTAGCAAAGAAAATTATTAGAGCCTCTGGCATAATATCAAAAATGCGTCATTTCGTAAATAGTAATGGAATTAAGCTGATATACTATGCGTTGGTCTATCCATACCTTATTTACGGAAACTTAATTTGGAGTAACACCTACAAAACTCGGATTCAAAAAATAATGAATATTTAAAAAAAATTGTACGGTTGATGACGTTTAAGTCGTATATGGAACACACTGAGCCAATTTTTAAAGAATTAAACATCTTAGATATCTTTAAAATTAATGGCTATTTAACTGGGATGTTTATGTTTCGAAATCACTATCTTAAAAATCTACCTGAAGAATTTGATAATTTTTTTCTGAGTAGTAATCAAATTCATCAGCATAACACGAGAAACGCATCCAAACTTTACAAGCAATATAAAAGAACCAACTATGCAAAGCATACTCTTTCTAATAAAGGTGCTGATGTATGGAACTTACTAGAATCAAATATCAAAGATATAAACTCTTGCACTGCTTTCAAAAAACAAGTTAAATAGCATTATTTACTGAATTAGAAATAGGATTCAACTTCAAAATTATGCATTCTACTTACATATTATATAGTGATAAATACTAGTGTCAATATGCCTTTATATATGACGTATATTTGTACTGTAATTATTTTGCTTTATAGTTCTTTCCTTCCTTTTGTAAATAATACACTCTAAGATAATTGTTTTTCTGATTTTCAGTGTAGACAAATTAATTAATAGATAACAATGAACTATAACTAGGGGTCTAAATTAAAAAGCCTGTTAGGGTTTCTAGTAGGTCCCTAGCCCAATATTAAAAGAAAATATTTGTAAATATTAACAAAGCTGTACATAGGGGAAAAATAAAAAAAATTTAAAAAAAAAACACTCATCAGATGAATTTAAATAACGCGCTCTGTTGTTGCCTAGGATATACTATGTACATGTTTGAGGTCAAAAGTGTTATATTACAGTGTCATTTATAATCTATTTATTGCTCAACAGGAATTTGTTCCGGTGTCTACATTTCGACAATAGTTCATTTCTAGAGTTCAAGGAGCTGAGTTTAGAATATAATAAATAATTAGAAATTTTTCGTGCAGGCATAGTTGCATCGTTTGGTTTTGTTTGAGTAGCTTTTACACTTTTTCATACTCTTTCAAATGCCAGACATATTTACTTAGTTAGCATGTTTGTATCTGGAGTTTCTGAAGGTACTGGTGTGACCATTGTACCTTGTTTTGAATTTCCCTTCTGTGTGTCGTACACAGAGGAGGTTGGACAGCAGGTCGCAAAGCATCATGGGTATTGAGCGCCTAATTCCGCGCGTGGCTTCATCGGACTGTTGACTGTCGAGGAGTGAACATCTCCCTCACTAAACCAATATGGAAGCTTTCGAACGACAAGAGTGTCAGGCTGCGATACTTTGTGAAAAGAAACAGCATGTTATTGCTGTATTGTTGCGATCATCATTATGACTTGTGTTTTACCATATCAAGTTTACCTTTTTTAATTTAAATTGCATGGGACGTGCTGTCATTTTAGCTTTATAAATAATCCGTCTGAGAAAAGGAATTGTGTTTAATTTTATATTCCCATTGGGATAGCGAGGCTCTTCTTTCTAAGTTGGATGGCGTTAAATCTCCGTGTATCATCAACGTGAAAACAAGTGCAGTATTTAAGGTTGGTATACTACAATGCATTACAGTTATCGTGTTATTTTAAAGTCAAATTTCCGCTTTGTTGTTTTTATTGTGTGTGTAGTACAATGTACTGTGTCACTGTGATACATATGTATATGTTTTGAGTTAAACGAATTGTTCAATAAATATTTGCTGAAGTATGATACCTGTTTGTGTGGATATATTTACATATATGTGCACTGTGTATAGTTTATACATTGGTTCTCAGATGAGTCTGAATGTATATTGTTATTCAGTTATTTGTATGTGTTGTTTTATACATTTTGCTGAGTATGATGCCTGTTTGTATCTAGTTGTGGATGGTTGTGAGAATATAATTTTAGAGATTACATGTTTGCTAATTTTAGAGATGATAATGATCAAATAATAATTTTCTTGTTATGATTTTGTAGAAAGAGATTTACTTGAGTGGTTGGTTGGTCTTGAGCCTGTTCAGGATGTATATGATAATGAAAGAGGTGATCAAGGTGATAGGGCAGAAAGTGATGACGTTTAAGTGAGATGAAAGTGATGAGGAGGAAATCGCCCACGCTGTAGCATTCAAGTGCATTGGTGATGCCCATGAGAAAAACTACCAACATCATTTGGAAAATTAAATTAAGACATAATACCTCACTCTTCGTGAACAAGATAAAACAGTGAATGTAAGAATATGGCCAGCACCATTGAATCCAAGGGACCCAAGTGCAATAGGCAATTAATTCCAGCTTTTAGTTTATTTTATTAAAAGTTTTCAGCATAATCAGCAATATGATACCTTACTTCCTGTTGCCCCCTGCACACATAAATTAAAAGCTGGAATTGCCCATTGACTAGACTATGGAACTGGATGACAACATGTTGGTTATATTGCTTTTCAACTATGCAAGTATTTGCACCCACTAATTGCTGCAGATGTCGTGGATGTCTATTGTCTATGTTCAGTGTATCAAGTATAGGGTTGACTTTTTTAATTAAAAATGGTGGATTTTTTATTTTTTTTAAAGGAGGGGTGGAAACCTTTCAGGGGGGGGGGCAAGCAGCACCACTAAGTGAGCTTTTTACAGGGGTTTGGCATTAGGGTTAAAGACTTTTGAAGCAAAATTTTGGTGGGGTTGAACACTTTATAAGAGGGGTTAGAGAGATTCTAAGGGGGGGGGGAGGTTAACCCCTCCTAACCCCCCCCCCAGTAAATCTGCCCATGATTTAATCCAAAAATTTTCATAATGAAACCTGGTGAGTGGAGGCTCAAGTGGTAGGAAAAAGCATGAGTGTATGTTGACAGATGTTTTTATATAATAAATAGCAATTAGCTATGTTTAGCAAGTTATTAGTGCATTTATTTCAATTCGCTAACTTTTTTGTTTTTTCCAGCATTTTTAAACAAACCATATGTTATAAATGATATAACTGGGTATATCTAATTAAAACAACCTGTCATGTACACTCATACAAATAAGACTAAGTACATAAATAACAACCTCGTACCCAGGGGAGAAAAGACCCTGGTAGATGCTGGTCACATGATCTGCTAAAATCTAGCAGATTTTTAATAAGCAATCCAAGATGAGGTCAATAAATATTTGATATTTGGATGATTTTTATATGTTAATTTATAATTTGCATTTTGTATATGATTGTCATAAAGGAATTCAAGATAGTTAATTAGAAATCTGCTAGATTTTAGCAGATCACGTGACCAGCATCTACCGGGGTCTTTTCTCCCCAAGAGGAAGGACTCTGGGTACGAGGTCGCATAAATAACTGTAAAAATGTACTTTAGTAAATGAATAATTTATCAATACACTTGATCTACTTTGTGAGTATTTTTTCCAATTAAAATTGATGCAACAATAAAACAAGAAGATGTCTATTTATATATTTATTAAATTGATCTGAGATCCCAACAATAACATGCTACTTAGGGAGTGGTCATTATTTATGGGGGGGGTGGTAAATGGGAGGGGGGGGCAAACAAAGTTTTACCCAAACAAAGTTTTAACACAGAGAAGGGGGGGGGGGTAAAAAAGTTTTTGAACTTAAATACCATGTCTAGAGTTCTGGTTTCTATAATCACAAATAGCAAAAAAGAAGACTCTGAAAATGCCATTTCCAATGATCTAGAGACTCAAAATTTTCAAAATTTCCCTGCTCTGTGCCAACCATGGTAGTGCCTTGTGGGAGTGGTGCCCACTAAGTTTAATAAGCTTCCTACCCCCTGAGTGACCCAGCTGTGGTATTTACATAAACATACCATGCAAGTACACTTAACTGATCAGATTCGGTCTATGAAAGCACAATGTAACGCTGTATATCAAAAAATCTGTTTCAGAAAATGCTCACATTTCAGTCCTGGGGAAAAATACAAAAAATGTTCCCCAGACCCCTCCCCCCCCCCTACTAATACATACAATACCACACCAAACTTTTTGTCACCAACAACCATCTGTCATCTCTCCACACTCAGTATAGTATGGTCCCTTTTTGTAGATGCCTACCTCCAGAC